AAAATGGGAAAAAAAAAACTTCAAAAGGAAAGAGAAACTGGGATGGGGAAATGAAGCAGGGAGAAGAAACAAAGAAAATAATATGAATGGCAGTTAGGTTCGGGGCTATAGCTCAGCAGCACAGATCCTGCGTGGCAGGTGCAATGCTCTTTTCTTTCCCTGTAGTTTAAGGAAGGGTCTACAGGGTGTTCAGGGTCTCACTACTAGATCCGACTTGTAGCGATTCTCCTGTCTACAGCCTCCTAAATGCTGGGATTACAGGTGTGTGCCACCATGCCCAGTCTCAATTATTGTCTCATGGGCACTGTGAGCTGGGCATGGCAGGTCCCAGGGATCAAACCCCTGTCTTCTGCACCTGTTTGCAGGCGCTTTAATCCGCTGAGCTATTTGGCTGGCCCTAGGTGCAATGTTCTGAGTTTGATTCCTATATCAAAAAAAAAAAAAAAGTTAAGATCATTATACTACTAACTCCACTTAGTTCATTGAAAAGAAAGGTTTCTGGGGGCCAGGGAGATGGCTCAGTGGAATAAGTGCTTCCCTGGCAAGCGCAAGGGCCTGAGTTTAATTCCCAGTTCTGCCAAAAAAAAAAAAAGGTTTCTGCTAATATGGCTTGGACAATTAAATGCCAATATTTTGTTCTGAGAGTGGCTCATTTAAGGACAAAAATATGCAATATATTAACTGTTGTAACCATCGTAGTATCTTGTTTTGAATTTTTTTTCTCTTTAAAATAAAACATAACCCATAAAAAACGACAACCATCACTAAGGGATTAATCCTCGGCCTATCCAGCGGGCACAGTGCCATCCGACCAGCAGGGCTGACAGGTGGTAAATTAAATCGCATAATTGACATAATTGACGGTACTTACAATCCCTGCCGCTGTGCTAACACGTAGAACCAAAGCAATTATTATGATCATGCTGAAAGCAGCTATAACTTTGTTTTTGTCGTTAGTTTTTTGTTTTTTGCACAGCACTGGAGACGGAGCCCAGACTCCTCTCCACCACGTTCGGCCGAGCGCTCCCTCAGAGCCACGCCCCCAGCTACTATTAAGATGCTCCGTACAGATTGTTCCTCTGTTCCTGTGACACAGGCCTGACCGCTCAGCCCTGCCGCCTCCAGTTCTGCCTGGCCAGGTCTCTGCCACACCTCTTCCCATTCCTTTTGGCCTAGGCATTTGCTTCCGCAGGTCTGGGACACTCCTCAAATCTACACCGTGGCCTTCTGCTCGTCACTCCGTCCTCACGGCATCCTCCAAACCTGGCTTCCCCAGCTCCCCGCCCCCTTCTCAGTCGGTCTCCTCCTCCTTTCACTGGCAGTGTCTCTTCTTTGGTCAACCTACCACGTCCCCTGCCGCCGGCTGTTGCTCACACAGAGAGTTTGCTGACATTTACAGAGCAGAAAACTGGGCCTCGAAGCAGTCACGCGTCCCAGGGACCGAGATTGGGAATGCGTGGAGCAAGGTGTGTTTGCAGTTAGTGTAGCCACGGGCAGCCCCGCCGCCTGCCATTACCCTTTTGATGTTGCAGCCGCAGCAGCTCCCAGGTGTCACCTTCGCCCTGCTGCCCGAAGTAATGATAGTCGGGGTAGACCTGGGCAGGGGTCTTCGACACCAGGAGGATCAGAAACAGGAGCAAGAGTGCCGGAGGGCTCCGGGCCATGCAGAACTCCAACCGCCCAGAAACACCCAGGGGCCAGGGCACATCCCCCCCAACCCCCCGCGCAGGTTCGGTGATCCGGACCGGCTGAGCGCCTCCCCCGTTAGAAGCAGTGGACCCGCCCGCCCCGGCCACGCCCACTTACCCCCGCCCCCGCGCCAGCAAGGGTTCGGGCTGCATATAAAAGGCCCTGGGTGGCCCAGGGCTCACTGGGAGCTGTGACTTTCAGTCTTACCTGTACTCGCCTGCTGGTACAGCTTTCACCCACGCAGGTACGGACAGCCACGCCGAGAGCACCGGAGTCGGGGAAGCCTGCTTGGTGCAGTTCCGGCCCTATGCGGACCTCACTCCCGGCCTCCTTTGTTCTCCGCGCACGCCATGGTGTCCGCCTTTGTCCTTGCGGGGGAAACCGAGGCCAGAATCTTGCTTGCAAGTCGAGGCGCGATCGCCGAGCTCTGCGCCCTGCTTTTGGGCCTTTGCTGCCTGGTTCGGGCTAGGGACCCCAGGAAGGCCTCTGATGGGGTCCCCGCGCCCTGGGTAGGGGGGTGGGCTCCGACAGGGCCTTGCAGATCTGGGCCGGGGAGGAGGGGCGGGGCGGGGGCTGGGACGCGGCTGCTCCGCCCCTCGGACTCAGTCTCGGGCCCCCTTTCCCCCGTGACCTTGGGGAGCTAGGACAAAAGGTCCCCGGGCACTGAGCACGGGGTCTCGGCCTCTAGCCATGGCATCCGGCAGCGCACACATCGGGAAGCCGGCCCCGGACTTCACGGCCACCGCCGTGGTGGACGGCGCCTTCAAGGAGGTCAAGCTCTCTGACTTCAGAGGTGAGGTGGCAGCAAGGGGCCAGCATGTGGGGCCCGCTTTGGTGTGGAGGGGCTGGTTTAACTCCTGTCTTTCCTCCTGCCCCCAGGGAAGTACGTGGTCCTCTTCTTCTACCCACTGGACTTCACGTTCGTGTGCCCCACAGAGATCATTGCGTTCAGCGAGCGCGCTGAGGATTTCCGAAAGCTAGGCTGCGAGGTGTTGGGGGCCTCCGTGGACTCCCAGTTCACCCACCTGGCTTGGTACGGGCGGGGCAGCGTTGCATAGCCCACATTTTAGGGCCGTGTCCTGTGGCCTGCTTTCCTCACCTTGAAAGCATGGGAAGAAAGACCCCATCCCTCAATTCTCATGGAGTAATTAGAATGTTGCAGCTAGTTTTTGGCCTGGGACCTGAAGTTGCAGATGCTTAGTCTCCTTTATTTATGAGAGACAAGCTGAGTTGCCTTATCTACAGGGGTGGAAACTCCAGTTCAGCAAATGAAGGGCTGGGCCCAGGATCCCAGGGCTCAGAGGATGGGGCCTCTGACCTGCAGTAGCATGATATGGAGCCAGGAGCACAGGGAAGCCAGTTGGCCAGAGATGGAGTTTTAGCCTCTGGTTTGCTTCTGGTGGCCAGGATATGACATTCTTCAGGCCCTGCACAGCCCTTGGGGTGTGGTCGGTGGGGCTCCTGTTTTAACTCCTTTATCTCTTGCCTCCAGCACCCCTACTTCAGCCCTTATCAGGGCTAGGCCCACAGGGGCCTGGCACCCTCCAAGCCAGGCACCCTAAAGCCCCACCCCGTCTCTGTCACCTCCAGGATCAATACCCCCCGTAAGGAGGGAGGCTTGGGCCCCCTGAACATCCCCTTGCTTGCTGATGTGACGAGAAGCTTGTCTGATAAATATGGAGTGCTGAAGAGGGATGAGGGCATTGCCTACAGGTACAGTGGGGCCCTCTGCCCAGCTCATGAAGCCCCTGTCCCCAGGGTAACAGGACTTGAGGGTGGGGCTCCCTTCCCTGACCCTGGAAGTGAGAGCTCCCAGCTTCTCACTTGGAAACTTGGTATTTCCAGGGGCCTCTTCATCATCGATGGCAAGGGTATCCTGCGACAGATCACTGTGAATGATTTGCCCGTGGGGCGCTCTGTGGATGAGGCTCTACGGCTGGTCCAGGCCTTCCAGTACACAGATGAACATGGGGAAGGTGAGCAGAGTGTACACATACACATCCTCACAGCTGTGGCCCCAGCTTCTCTGTTTCATGCAGATGTGCCCTACCCACCCCTGCATCGAGGTTAGGGGCCCATTCATCTGAGCGCTTTGTGTACAGGAAGTACCTCCTTGTAAGAACAGGAAGCTCAACCAGGCGTGGTGCCACACGCCTGTAATCACAGTACCTTAGGATGCTGAGACAGGGAGGAGCACAAGTTCAAACTGAGCCTGTGCAATTTAGCAAATTACTGAGACACTGTCTCAAAATAAAAAATAAAGGGCCTTTGTAATCTAGCTGAATGTGAAAGCCTTGGGATCAATACCCACTAACTGGGGAGATGGGGGTTGGAAAGTGGTAGAGCTATAGAAGGTATTTAAGATATGTCCCAAGGCTTGCTTGAATAATGGGAATTGAATCCGACTTTCCTTTTTTTTTTTTTTTTTTTTTAATGTGCTGGGGATGAGCTGAGTGTGGTAACATATCTGTAATCCTGGCACTTGGAAGGCTAAGGCAGGAGGATCATTGCAAGTTCAAAACCAGCCTGGGGGGCCGGGGAGATGGCTCAGTAGGATAAGCACTTGACTGGCAAACGCAAGGATCTGAGTTCAATCCCCGGTTCCACCAGAAAAAAAAAAAAAAAAAACAGCCTGGGCTATAAAGATTTTTTGTTTTTGTTTTTGGTGGAACCGGGGATTGAACTCAGGCCCTTGCACATGCCAGGCAAGTGCTTATTCTACTGAGCCATCTCCCTGGCCCCATCCTGGGCTATAAAGTGAGCCCAAGGCCAACCTGAACTCATAGTGAGACCCTGTCTCACACACACACACACACACACACACACACACACACACAAAACCACAATGTGCTGGGAATGAAACTTCCACCCCCACCCCCACCCCCACCCCCCCCAACAGTACTTTGTCACATGCAGGAGACAATCTGACTGCAGGTACTCAGAAGCCCATTAGAACTAGTGCTGATGGCAGGCATCGTGGCACATGCGTGTAATCCCAGCACTTGGGAGGCTGAACCTCACAGGAGGCTCATTACTGTGAGGTCAAGGCCAGCCTGAGCTGCCTAGTGGAGACCCTGTCTCAAAAAGACAAAAACACCACCAGAAAATGCTGTGGCTAGGCTTATATCTTGGATTTGTGCCACTACTTTCAGATTTTTAGAAAAAGTTTTTTTAAGGGGCCGCGGAGATGGCTCAGTAGGATAAGCACTTGACTGGCAGATGCAAGGATCTGAGTTCAATCCCCGGTTCCACCAAAAAAAAAAAAAAAAAAAAAAAAAACAGAAAAGTATTTCAAAAAAATTTAAAAAAAAAAAGGAAAAGTTTTTTTAAATAAGGTCTTACTGGGGCCGGGGAGATGGCTCAGTGGAATAAGCACTTCCCTGGTAAGCACAAGGGTATGAGTTCAAACCCCGGTTCCACAAAAATAAATAAGGCTTTACTATGTAGCCCTGGAGCCGGGGAGATGGCTCAGTGGAATAAGCGCTTCCCTGGCAAGCGCAAGGGCCTGAGTTCTATCCCTGGTTCAGCAAAAAAGAAAAAAAAAAGACAAATTACTATGTAGCCCTGGTTGGCCTCATATTCATAGAGATCTTCCTGTCTCAGCCTTAAGTGCTGAGCTAACATACCACCATACCCAACTTTCCCGAGCATGCATGGGGTGAAAAGTGCCTTCTCAGCACTTTTGTATTTTGAGACAGGATCTCACTGAGCGGCTGAGTTTGCCAAGCTAGCTGACCATGCCTGCTCCAGCTTTTCACCCTGCTCGCCTATTCACCCTCTCTTCCCAGTCTGTCCTGCTGGCTGGAAACCTGGCAGTGATACAATCAAGCCCACCGTGGATGACAGCAAGGAATACTTCTCCAAACACAACTAGGCTGGCAGACAGGGAGTTGGGGCATGAGTTTGTGTTCTTCGATCCCACCTGTGCCTCTACCTGGCTGTCCACACTGGCCCAGAAAAGGTGCATCCAGAAAGGGTGGATCTGCCCCCTCCCAATTCCACTGCCTGGGCAGAGGCTGGAGGCCTTGGCCAAGACTTTCTCGTCCTCCACTGGGATCTGGCAACAAGTGACCCTTCTGTGGAGCCCACCCCACTGGCACAGGTCTGTAGGTGACCAATAAAGTATTAGGGACAGAACTGAGTCTGTGTGTTTTCTCTGGCATTGTTTCAGTCCCCCTCCCCTTTCCAGGTTTCCACCCCCTTCCTGAAAACCTGGCTGGGAAACTGACCTGTAGTTACTCACTTTTACCACAAGGTGGCAGCCTCACCACATGTGCCGCATACTCCTTGGGTTTTTTTTTTTTTTTTTTTTCTCCTCCCCCAGGCTGAGGAAGCCTTCCAAGAGGGGGAGGGGTGTGTGTTTGTCCAGAAGCAAATACTGTACAAGGACCTGCCACATCCTGAAAGTTGGCCATGCAGGTCGGTACCTTCATCTCGCCATCAGGCAGCCTGGCTCAAGTGCCATTAACTAGCTGTGATCTTCCCTGAGTATTTATGCAAATTAACGAATGTGGAACACGGGCTGGGCGTGGGGGCACACCTGTGTGTAATTCGAACATCTTGTGAGGTTGAGGCAATAGGATCTCAAGTTCAGCCCCAACCTGAGCAATTCAGCAAGAACCTGTCTAATAAAAAAGGGGGGGGGGGACTGGTGAGATGGCTCAGTGGTCTAAAGCACCGACTTAGAACAAGCTTAGCAAAGCACAGGGACCGCGGTTCAATCCCCCAGCACCACATGCCAGTCAGCCCCGCCCCCTGGTGGGCTGAGCTGGCCACACACACATAAATGGATAGATGGATAAATAAATAAATTTTAAAAAAAAATGGGGGGGGCTGGTGAGATGGCTCAGAGGTCTAAAGCACCTACTTAGAACAAGCTTAGCAAAGCACAGGGACC